ACCACATCCACATCAGAAAACCATAGCCTCTCCTCGTCGACATCTCCATCAAAGACGAATGCCCAATTCGTTGACATTTTCATCAAAAGAACAAAGTTCCATGCTTCCAGATCTTCATTCAAAAGCCAAAGCACAGTTTGTTTTATTTCATCACCTTCATGAAAAGGCTAAAACCCCATTCCTTTACATTGTCATTAAAAGACATCGTCTACCTCTTCATCAAACTGCCAAAGTCCCATTCTTTTACATTTTTATGAAAAAACCAAAGCTCGATTTGTTGACATCTTTATCAGAAGACAAAATCCTCATTCGTCGACATCCTCATCGAAGATCAAAGTCCCATTCTTTGATATAATCATCAAAATATCAAAGTCCCATTTGTCGACATCTTCGTTAAAATACCAATGCCCCATTTGTCGAGATTTTCATAGAAAGTCCAAAGCTCCATTCGTCTACATTCACATCAGAAGACCAAAGCCTCATTCGTCGACATCTCCATCAAAGACGAATGCCCTATTCGTCGACATTTTCATCAAAAATACAAAATCCCATGCTTCCATACCTTCATTCATAAGCCAAAGCACAATTTGTTTTTTTTTCAACACCTTCATGAAAAGGCTAAAACCCCTTTTCCTCGTCATCGTCAGGCTAACTGATTTCTTTGACTTTAATAGATGCCATGTAAGCCTTTTCCCTGCAATTTGTCACCTTTATCAAAACATTATCTAGCTGGAAATCTTTCCCCTTGTCTACAAGAAGAGTTAATCTCTCAAACATATGTCAAAATATGAGGTATGAACCCAGTTTGGAGTCGTCGATGGTTGCAAGAAATGTTAGCTATTCATACTTATTTGCAAATTTTCAATAAAAGTGTCGATTTTCGGATTCTGCGCTGCAAAAAAGTGTCATATTTCTGCACGATGAGCCAGAAATATTGCATACTTTTGATAGTATTATAGCATTAGATATATCAGTTCATGCCTAATATTTGGTTTTCCTGGAAGATTTTGGCCTGAAAAGTTGCATTTCGTTTTTGGAACCTTAAAATAGCATTTACGCCTTACAAATACGTTAAGAGTAAACATATTGCAGTTTTATTTCTGAAACTAAACTGGTATTGAAGGCATCACTGCATGCCAGAGATATGTTACCTGGAATTTTTGGCAACAGAACACCTTTTCTCGGATCCAACAACTTAAAAAAGGAAAATCGAACGAAAAACAGCAGTGTTTTAGAAACATAGTCGATTGGGTGATGTGTGTACTGTAATGGCATCAAAACATTCCAGATATGGATGTTTCCTGGAATTTTTGGCTTAGGAACATTTATTTTCGACAACTATTACCTAGGGATCTGTTGAAAAATCGTATATAACATGACGATTCAATGGGATGACAATTCGACATAGACTATAAAGCGAATGGTGAAAAAAGGCAGTCGATTAGAAAATCAATTCTAAGTTATTTCCCAAGCTAAATAAAAAAATGAAAGATTCTTTTATAATACGCCAGAAAGAGTCTCTCATAAAAAATTTAAACTGTTTTAGTTTCAATTAGGCATCATGCAAAGTATTAGGAATTCTACGTAAAGTAAACGTTTTGGTAACTATGACAGCATCCAGCTGATTTTTTAGGGTTCAAAGAAAATCTAGCTGCTAAATTAGTGTTTTTCTTTACCTTTAAGACTAGGATTGTTAAAATGAATATGAAAAGCACTTTGTAAGCAAAAGCAATGACTTACAGCAAAAACATACAGATTTTGTACATCTTTAATGAAAGAGCAGATGCAAAGTTTAGTGCTAACATGGAATACATAAAAGGCAAACAATTTCGGACACAAAATCTCGGACAAAATATCTTCGGACGTTTTTCAAAGTTATTTCGGACGTTTCCAGAGAAATTTCGGACGAATACAAAAAGCATGTATTTAGTTTTTTTAATGCT